GCAGCAATAGAGCAATAATAAATGTTCAATTCTTCAGCTGTTAGGTTTTTACTGACAGAGTGAGAGCCGACACGTTTTTTCCCTCGCAGGTCATTCACAATAGTCCAGATCTCTTTCTGTTTGTTGCCAGCCGTTACAATGCGAGAATAGTAATAAGACCGCTTAGCCTCCCTAATCACCCTACGATACACGCTCCTGTAGTTTTTGAAATAGCTCATGAAAAAAGGGTTGCCCATAAAGAATTTCCTCAATGTATGTAAGCATCTCATATTCTTTGAAGCAATCTTCAAACCTTTTGTAACCCAGGGTTTACTGTTTTTTGATCTGAGATTTATGATCGGAAACGCAGAGTTGAAAATATTTAGGAGGTTTCCATAGAATGTCTCCAAATCTATGCCAGCACCCCCAGAGCCTTCCCATGCAAAATCAGAGCATAATTGTCCAAACACATTGAAATTTTGTCCAGAAAACAAACGGCCACGCTTAAAACATTTTTTCTTCTTAACTGTGCAAGATTCAAATTTATACTTGCCAATCACTGCCTCATGGTCTGACAAACCAGAAGGAATCACAGAACATTCAACCTTAGTTAGATCTATATTAGAACACAAGTAGTCAATAGTTGAAGCAGTTCGCCCTGTTATTCTAGTGTGAGATTGAACATGCATAACCAAATTGAAAGAGATAAGTAAGTTTCTAAGTTTACGAGCAGAATGCAAATTTGATTGTTCATAATCTATGTTGAAGTCGCCGGCCAATATAATAGAGGCTGTAGGCGGAATTTCGTTTAGAATCACCTCGAGTTTGTTGAGGAACATCTCACAGTCAGAACCAGGTGAACGATACAAACAGACAATAAACAGATTCAAAATATTACAATACACAATAGACAGCTCAAAAACCTTATCACTACATAAAAAATTAAATTTTTCAATGTCAACCAAGCCAGAAGCTTCAAGAAAATCGTTCCGACAGAGAACCAAAGTACCACCATTATTGAAGACTCTTCTACAATATTTCGAAACAATAGAGTATTTTGAGAAAAAAATTGGTTCCTGTTCTTTGAGCCAGTGCTCAGTCAAAAGAATTATTTGTGGATAACTGACGCTTTCAACAAGAAGCTCAAATTCATTGATTTTAGGTCTAAGTGACTGAACATTCAATAGAAGAATACCTAGTGACAGGTTGTCAACTGACCTAAAAAAGTATGTGACAAGTAGGTGCGAGTCCGGGACTCATGGAGCGCAGGACTTTGGAAGCTTACATTCGAGTATGTAGATATAGGTATTGCTCTTAAGACTATCTTACTTTGAACGAAGGGAGTGATTATGTAATGATAGAGTAACTCACACATAGAGCCAATAGAATGCCGGAAATCGAAAACATCGCAAACATCACTTATCAATCTAATTGATGTACTATTCTTACGGACAAAATCTTCAACAAAGTATACAATATTAAAAAACTTATTCCTAGGAAAATAATTAAAATTACATTTAAAACATACAACCAGGTTAGTAAACCTACCAATTGCCAGAAGTTTTTTCAAACTAGAGTACCCGATAAAAGTTTTATTTAAATCCAAGCACAAAGCAACAGTATCATTCACAGAGTGTCCACTAGACAAGGAAAAGAGTGCCCTGATCAAACCAGCAACATTAGATTGACTACCCACATATCCAAATGTGTCATACAGGGAGCCATGAAAAAGCTCAGCAAGTGTAGAGGAATAATTCCTGGCACTTGCGTCACCACATATGAGTATTTTCTTCTTGATTTGCGTTTTAGGACAAATATCTTGTCGAGTTGCAGCGCAGGTAGCAAAGGCTGGAACAAGTGCAGGGGAACTGATTGGTGTTGAAGAATGCTGCGGCCCATAAGAAGTAACGTCAGGTTCTTCCACCGCCAAGGCAAGATCCGCCCTGTCAGTCTGAGTTGATTTAGGAACTTGAATTCTTAGCAAGCTGTGGAGGAGTAGAGCCTCGTTCAATGTATCGTCATTCACATACGTAACAGTAGCAGCGTCTTTAAAGCAAGTCGATGTTTGGGTAGCAATCGTAGCCCTTTCTCCGATATCAGATTCCGATGCAAAATAGTCTCCAACGACATCATTAGTATTTGTATCACTGATAACAGTCTGAGACTCAATACTTTTAAGAAAATGTATTGTCTGAGTACTAACATCACATTTAGTACTAGAAGATTTGGAGCATACTGGAGAATCACAATAACCACGAAGCTTTTGCTGGAGCTCAATAGTCAAAGCTTTATATTTTTGAAGTTCTGCTTTATAGTATGCTTCCATGTCAAACACCTCATCTTCGAAGGCAACTGAGCGCCTTTTAGTCTTCTCGATCTGTCTTTTCAGAAGCTCCAGATTACACTTCAGGTCGACGTTTTCCGTTTCAAGCTTCTGCAAAGTTTGACTGTCCCTATCATTGGTCCCTAGTTGGAAGCAGGTGTTTGAACAATAGATTTTTTGCTGCTCAATATGAATCATTTGCTTTTTCCTAGACCAACAAGATTTGTGTACAATTATGTGGCACACAACACAACAAAAGAGTCTCAATCTTTGCTCCTTATTAGGGCAGCATGGAAAGGTCACAATTTCATCCTCAGAGCCCGAGAGGTGATTCATGATAAATTATCAGAATGCACCCTGTATAAAAGAATAATTCTCTCTGTTATAATTTACACACAATAAAGAATAAAAACGGTCCCCTAGGTAGGTTTGTTTATGTTATATTGATAAGCACCAACCTATTGATAGTAGAATTTATTGTTACCCATAAAAACAAACGCAAAAAATAAAATTATTAACTTTATAGTTACCAAGATAAACTATAAAACGCATTTTCCACCACCAATAATAATCCCTCAGACTTGATTTCACGAGGGTATAACACAGACAAATTTTCTCTTCATTTTGACACTAATTTCAATATTTATTTCGAACTACAACTGTATTTAAACTTTATTTTATTGGGAACAAAAACACTCGTCACACCAAGGGACCACTTCACGAATCACGATGACATTGTGAAGTTGTTGCCTAATCCCGAAATTGGTCGGCGAGGAGAAATATCCTTCCAATTGTCATTTAGCGGATAAACGGTGGAATAGAGCTTTTAAACTCATTTATCCTAAGTTTAGAATCCATAAGTTTAAAGTTATTATTTAATATTGTCACAGTAAACTAGAAACTTCTGTTTTGTTTTGCTTAAGTGTGTCCATTTATTTAAAATTATTGAGTTTGTAACTTTGTTCACAATAAAGATATTTTAGATTAAAAAAAAAAACATTTTAATCGAAAAAATATATCTAAAACGCTCTCACTACCTGCTTTACTCTATGTGTGCTAGGTACAAAGATATATTCCAATTCGCACTTACCCCATGTTCCGGGGTAAGTGCGTCCACTGGGCCTAAATTAAAAAAAATCGCGAATTTTAAAAATTAAGCTGTAAATAAATGTGGTTAAGGCTTTAACTCATAATTATGGCTTGTATAGTTAATATGTGAACATATTAAGATTACCTAAAAATATTCAAAACTGTAAAGGAAAAATATATTTTAAGTCGCTAAATTTTGTGTCGCACTTACCCACAACCGTCTTTACGTATCCAGCCATGAACAAACATGTGGCAACACTGCATCATCAATGAAATGATGGCAAGACCGTCGCGTGTTGCGTCGCGTCCTTGCAGTTTAATTTGGCAGTTTAACAAGGGTTATGGATAAAAAATATATTTTTTTTTTATTGTAAATGTTTTATTTATAGTAAATAAGTACTTTTTAGGCTGAAGCTATTGTTTCCAAAACCAAAATTATTTCTAGCCCTATTATTATTATTTCGAAAACTGTTATTTTGTTCACGTCTAATCCTAGGCGCGGAAATTATGTACCTGCAATTTTTTCTTGAAATACAAGGAGCTTGCTTCTAATTGCGGAAATAATTTCACGGCTTGTACGTCCATTCTAAAACAATAAATACCCGGTCTTGTGCTTTCTTCTTGTCCAGATCTTTTTCTTCGCGAGCACGATCTTTTGCTAAAATATGATCCTGCTAGACACTATCTTCAATTTGCTGCATTTTGTAGCCAAAACATGATCTAGATGAAGATGATGAGGAATAGTCCTAGGCTTGAATAGTGCAAGATTCATTTCGTCAATTTTTTTTAGAGAAGTGTAGCTTGACAAGGGCAGTACATCTTCGTCCAACCATTCATTTTTATAAGTTGGAATATATCGGTTTTTGACTTGAAATCTTCCTCTAGATATAATTTTTTTGTCTTTTTCCGGTAGAAGTGGCTTTCGATTTTGGGCAAACAACAAAACAGTTGCATCTGTTCCAGCTTTTTATTTTGTTCTACTGAATGTACTGACGTATTTTTTTTCTTAGTCTTTTTTTTTGTTTATGTCGTGCAGTGTATTAGGTGTTCCAAACACAGACATCTCATGACCAGTGCCTAACCATCCCTTTTTCTATACCTAATGTACCAGGAAATGTTTTCTTGCACACTTGATGTTTCCCATCCGAGTTCCCATCCTCCAGTTTTAGCTCTCTCCCAGTGTTAGCTTCTTTTTCTCTTTCCTTGTAGATAGCTAAAATGTACATGAAGCTAGTTTGGGACACAAAAATTGTGTTTTGAAAATGAAAACGCGAGGACAAGCCGAAGCAAGGATTGACTCCAAATTATTTGAGCAGTAAGAAGATGAAAGAAAATATTGGCGCAATATGTTGCTTAGAGTTGTCGTGGCTGTAAAATCTCTAGCTACGCGTGGTCTTTTGTTCCGTGGCAAGACAGCTAGATTTGGATCTACAAATAACGGAAATTTTATGATGATTTTAGAAGTAATTTCCAAATTTGATCCGTTTCTGTCAAAACATATACAAAGGTTCGGCAATCCTGGGAAAGGCAACATGTCATATTTGTCTTTTACAACGTATGAAAAAATAATAAAAATTATGGCAACTGAAGTTACTACAACAATATTGAAACAACTCAAAAAAGGCTAAATACTTTTCTTTCAGTGTAGACTCAACCCTGGGAGTGCGCATTGGTTGTTTAAAAGTAGTGTACACATTTTATCCCTCACTCCAAAAAGTTGAAGTTATCCCGTTTAATCAAGAGGGAAAATAGCCAAAAGTTACCTGCTTTAAAAGAGTAAGTCACCAGTAACGTATTGTGCCTTTATTCCCTGCACCAAACATTATCTTTGGCTAAATCTTTCGTAAACAAAAACGTACTAAAATATGGCTATATGCCAGTGCTGCAAAAATTCATTCACCAAAAATCAATCAACTCGGACATGTTCGATGTGCGCAGCTACGGTTCATGAAACATGTGGTCAACTCGCTGATGCCGGGGCGGGATCGCCTGCACAATTCAAATGTCTGAAATGCACTTCGAGCACGAATGCGCCAAAACCATTAACTACGGAGCATTTCCAAGCAATAATGGCCGAATTTTCCTCTCTAAAAATAATCGTAAATGCCTGCGAAGGCAAAATTACTGCTTGCGACGCTAAAATCGAAACGTTAAACCAGCATATTGCATCCCAGGCTGTATCCATTGCCAATTGTGAGACCGAAATTACCAATTTGAAAACTGAGACTTGTTCTCTTCGCAAGGAATTCGATAACTTACAATCAAAGCCGCAAAACTTTGAAGACTTCTTTGAAGAATCTCGAGATCGTACGCGTCGAGAATGCAATGTCATAGTCTCAGGCCTTAGACAAGTGGTAGATGATGAAGCCGAAGTCCAAAAGATTCTAACCGAAATTGGCCTACAGAATATATCTCCAAAACTGACGTTCCGTTTTGGTAAAGCAAACACTGGTCCCAAACCACTTAAGGTCATATTTTGATCGAGTTCTGATGCCATGGAAGTTTTGAAAGCCAAGTCTCGCCTAACGTCTCCTCAATACAAGTCTGTCACCATGAAATCGGACTTGACCCCACGTCAGGTTCAACATCTGAGTACGCTTCGAAAGGAACTGCAAAAACGTACAGATGAAGGTGAGGATAACCTGACAATCAAATATATACGAGGAGTACCTCGTATTGTGTCATTACGCAGCGATGGAAAGAGAGAACGTGAAGAGAGCGCATCCCCTGGAATCCACAAAAAACATACAGGACCAAACGGCTCTAACGCATTGTAGCAACCATTGAACATTGTTTTTTGGAACATCAAGGGGTTTAATCGCATTCATCACTTTGCAGAGGCCATTCACAACTACGACATAATCTGTTTCTCTGAAACATGGGAGAAGGACGACATTATTCTTCCCGACTATTTATCGCAATACAACGTCCTCTCATCTCATGCTTTGAGAGAAGCATCTCGCGGTCGTTATAGCGGAGGCTTATGTGTTATTTATAAGAATTCTTTAAGTTTGGATCTACTTAACCTTACCCCTTGGTGGATAATCTGTAGAGTTAGTTTTAATTTATGCTCGCTATACTTGTGCAGTATCTATTTTAAGCCAAATTTGGATTTCGAGTATGCATTACCTTTATTCCAGGAAACTTTATTCGAGGACGCAGCGTTTGACCCGCAAAGCCCCTGGATTATTTCAGGTGATTTTAATAGCAGAGTTGGTAATCTTGGCGATGTCTGCCCAGAGGTCCTGGAGGGTTCGGGGCTGCGTCCCGCTAGGTCTAGTTTAGACAGGCTAATTAACGCAAGGGGTCGAAGTTTGATTGACATTATGGACTTAAACGGGTTTTTCCTACTGAACGGTCGTTGTGACGACGACTACATAGGACAATTTACTTTTATGGGAGATAATGGGGGTACAAGTACTGTGGATTTATGTTTTATTAATTTGCCTTGCCTCTCAATGCTGAATGATTTTTACGTGTGTAATAGTGAATATACATCTGATCACTTTCCAATAACTATCCGACTAAAATCAAAGAGTTTTCCAAATCTTTCTCTACCCACACCAGTCGTGCGGTCTGCCCCGTCCCTTGCGTGGTCTCATGAGGTTTCTCAGCAATACAATGCGTTGATGCATTTCTCCCAAGACTGTCGTTTCCTCGCAGATATGAATGAATCTCACGAGAATCTTTGCACCACAATATTCACGGTTGCCAAGTCTCTTGATCTTATAAGGCCCTCGTCACAAAACTTAAGTAAAAACACGGGTCGCGTTAATAAACCGTGGTTTGATAAGGAATGTTTTAGTTTGAAAAAAAGAGTGAACACTGAGCTAAGACATTGCCGGGCCCAAAATTTTTTCGGAGAAGCAAAACTAAGATTTATGGAGACAAAAAAACTTTATCGTAACATCATAAATCAAAAGAAACGTCAATTTGAAACTCATATTTCAGACTCGCTTGCAAACACGAAAAATTCTAAAGAATTCTGGCTAACTTATAAAAGACTTGGCGGTCACAGAAAACGGACATTACACTCTCGCGAATTCTGGCAAGATTATTTGGCAACCGTGTATACACAGCAATTCTCCGAACCTTTTCAGTTTTACGGT